CTCCCCGTGCCTTCAGCCAGAGGGTTGGAAAGTTTCCCCCGGCGCCGCTTTGCGACGGGTTCGGGACGGGAGGTGCGAGTCCCGCGGGATCCAGCCGCCTCCTGCCCTCGGTGGGATGGGGAGTTGCGATGTGTTTCGGTCGTGATGTCTCCTGTGTTGCTGGGGGGCTGCTACGGTGCCTGGTCTTGCCGGTTTGGAAATGGCTGAGAAAAAACACCCCTTCTGTCTTCCCTGAGCGGGGAAAATTGGGCATCTTTTGCCTCCCGGCTGCATCTTGTGCCTTGTAATAGAGGTAACGGATTACAGCTCTGCTGCTTCCAGACGAGGATTTCGTGTAGTGGTTCTGCTGACGGTGAATGAAGCTGAGATTTCTTTTTTTCCAGTGTTACCAGGGATTATGAGACCCATTTATTATTATTTTTACCAGTTGTTTTAGCTCGAGAATCACATTGTCTGTCTGCCTGGCAGTCTCTCTCAGTGCGCGGCTGTCAGCGTGGCTATTTGCAAGGTTATCGGTAATATACTGAAATAGTAGAAAGAACATTTCCCTTCTGGTTGGCGAAACGGTGGTACCTTCAAAGCGACCGGAGGCTGAATTGTGATTAAATGTATTTTGCAAAGTACTGTGAGATCAAAGGATAATTAAGATGAGAGAGGTTTGGAGAGCACAAGGGGGACTGGGGAACGTGCTGTGTTTGTGCCTGGGCTCCCCTTCACGGTGTGTGCTGGAAGCTCCAATGGAGGCACTGATGGTACCCTCCGGACCACATCCCTTCTTTGCTGGCATGCTTGGCAGGGCACAGCACTGGGCTTTTCCTGCTCAGGACCCATTTGGTGGGAGGGAAATGGTTGGTTGGTGGATCTCCCCATCCCCAGGAGAGTCTGGCAGAGGAGCGGGGAACCGTAACTCCGGGTGTCCGTTTACTCAGAAGAGCTGATTTTCCTGCTGCCGGAGCTGGGCGAGCTCTGCAGTGGCACAGTGCTCCCCGCTCAGCCCTCACCCAGTACACCCTGTCCTCCCTGGTAGCCCGGGCACATCCTCCTCACCGTGTCAAGGAGAAGTCGAGTGCTCTGTAACAGCTCCCAGCCCCGACGTGCTCGGTGCCTTCCAGCACGCCGCAACGCTCGCTGCTTCCCGGCTTCCCTCCTCCCCATGCGTTGCTTCAGCTCTTGCTTTCCTCTCCTTTTCAGACCCTTTTATTTGTCCCCAACCTGTATTTTTGCATTGCAAGTGAATTCTGTCAGCTGGGCCCTCAGAGGAGCCTCCCTCCGCTTCCAGCACAGCTCCGGCATCTGCCACTTCCACGCTGCTTCCTCCACCTGCCAGGCCTCCCCCCACTTTTTTCCCTGTGTTAATTAGGTGTTGCCTACCAACCCAGAGGAAAGCTGGCAGGTCTACAGCTCTGCCCAGGATAGCGAGGGACGTTGTATATGCACAGTGGTGGCACCTCAACAGACGATGTGTTCGCGTGATGCCAGGACAAAGCAGCTGAGACAACTATTAGAAAAGGTAATGGTTGACCCCGTCTGGGAAAGGTGGTTTGGTTTGGCATGATGTTGGGAGTGAAAACCTGAGTGAGCTGGGCTGAGCCTTGGTTTCCAGGGAAGATGGACTCCTTGGGCCAGCCCTCCCGTGCCGTAGCTGTCCCCAAGCGTGTGGTGGGGAATAATCAGCGGCGGTTGGGAGGATAAATCTCGCAGTGTTTCTGAGGCACAGAGGAAAGAGGACCGTGGCTTCAGGTCAGGTTAAAACTGCTGAGATGAAAGCAACAATATTGAACCATATCACTAAAAAAAAAAAAAAAAATTCCAAACCCCAAAATGTGTAATTTACTTATTTTTTTCATTACGTTAACACAAGCAGTTCCAAAGGATGAGCCTCAACAAGAATGAGAGAAGATGGAATTAAAAATGTAAAGCCCGTGCTTTCCTGGCCAAGCTGATATTAAAAAGGTCAAATAAAACAGTACAAGCTGTTGGCATCAAATAGCACAGAAATGACAGTTAGTGGTTTTCTTTCTAATGTTGACATCGACTTGATTAGTTTTTAATGGTCTGCTGTCCAAAGAGATCAAAGAATCTCATTAGGGAAACATTCCCGATAACAAGAAATTTTCCAGATAGTAGATTTCATTGAAGAAATGCTGTTTCATGCGAAATGGTGCTCTCCTCTTTAAAATATAAGTGGACTCCTGTGCTGGATATGTAATTATCCTTCATGCCCTAATGCTATGTTGGCATGTGTTGTGCATGACAAAGTAATTTTTATCCTGCTGCTTTTGGGAAGTTGATGTATTAGTCACTCATAACAGTATTAAACCTACACTTAACTGATTTTCCTGTGTGATAAGGACGATAAAGTGAGGCAGGAAACATTTAGCCCTAAAACATCTCTTTGGTATGTCAGAGGCTTCTAAAAATAATCCCACTCAAGCTTTTATTTCCCTGAGCAGTAACAGCGATCGGTCCAATAGCATTTGTCTAAGAGGCAGCAGGCGTTACATGAGCAGGTGACCCGGGCGTCCGAGAGCCATCGTGTTCCCAGAACCGCTCATTTGTGTTAAACAAGCAGGATTTGACCCAGTGCCCTCTGCTAATGGGCAGGCGAGTTGGGCGTTCGAGACCTGGGATAACACCAGTTCCTGTGCGGAGGGTGTAAGTGCTCAGTGATTTTTCCTTTATGCAGCTCTCCGGCTGCCAATGGATAGTGAGGGAGGAGCGGTATTTCAGGGCATGTGTTCTGGGGATATGTTACCTGCCTGCTGATCTGTCTGCGTCTCACTCCTACGCTAACCTATATGAAAACCCCAAAATAAAGAATGGGCTCTTAGTGCCAGACATCTGATCTTGATGAAGGCTGGAATGATAATCCCTATAGGAAAATGCAGCTACGGAGAAGAGCTTCCAGCTTCCCAGGAAGGATTTCAAACCTGAAAACCCTTTTCCTCACCTGACATTTTAATTCTAGCTTCACGATGGGAAGACTCACATCTCCCAATTTCTCTCTGCCAGCAGATGAAGAAACGTAATGTGTCAAAGAGGTAATTGGGTTTGGATTTTCAAAGGAGGAGACCTGGCAGTCACCTATGGAAATAATAAGGCATTGCTTTTACGGGCAAGAAATAAGCTGCATTTGAGCGTGAGTGTGTGTATGTGTGTACACAAACCAATTACAGCATCTTCAGTGAGAAATCTCTGCACAGAGGCTTCAGCAGCCGAATGTACTTTGAGGCTCAAAGCTGCCAAGACCCCGTCTACCCTCGACACATGGACACAGACATACGTGTAGAAACTGCAGTTCACGCTGCTTGCAAGTGAATCCTGGGCACCCCGTCAGTTTGAAGAGCAGGCGTTAAGTGAGGGAAGGTGAGCCAGGTCTGCTCGCCACCGCACAAACTGTTCAGCCTGTGTTTTGACACGGAGGTGTCTGAGCTCATCTTTGGCTGGAGTACACGGAGTCCTTCCAGCCTTATATGTGTCAGGTGCTGAGTCCAGATCTTGGACTGCAGCCAGACCAAGACATCACCTAAATCCTGTTCGCAAACAGATTATGTTTTATCTTCGGATGGATTTTTATTTGGTTTTTTGGCCTTGTTATCTGGGAGGACTTCCTCCTCTGATGGTTAAACCAGTTTTGGCTTCCTGCCCATTCTTATGCTTTGCCAGCACTGATTTCCAGATTAAACAGTTCTTTTTGTTCCTTTGTAATCACTCTGAGGTGTATATAGGAACGACAATGACATCTCTCCTCAGCCTTTGCTTTGCCACTACAGACCTTACAAGGTGAGCTTTTCATGTCCGGGTCCATCGGCTGAGTCCAGCTCTCTGCTAATTCTTCCAACAGACCACAAACGTCTCCCTCAAGATGCCTCCTGCAATCGCTCCACCAGTTTGTCCAGCTATCCAAAGCTAAAGATTCATCCCAATTCAAACCCCAAAGATGGGTTTAGAACAGCTCTTTTGAGCTGGCATGAAAGGCTGATCTACAGGGAAGCTGGAGGAGGGTTTGAACCATGGCTTTGACCATATAAATCACACTAGGGTCATCAGGCCAGTATTGACTCTCTGTTACTCTGGCTTAATTCTGTGTCAAACAAGATGACAAGAACAGCGCTGGAAGTTTCATTTGTATCAATTTTCGATTTCAAATGCTAAAACTAACTCTTTTCCCCAAGACAGTCGCAGGTATCTCTCTCCCATTAGCCTGATGGAAGATGAGGTTTCACGTTGAGAGTGCGTGCTCCACCAACGGAGGCAAAAAGCATTTTAGCTGATGTTTGAGGATAGCGCTTAATGGATGAAGCTGAGGGAATTGGAGAGACAGTATCCTTCGGTCTCAGTTCATTAGAGCACTTATGTACATGCTTAGGTTTAAGCTATGAATAGTCTCATTGAAATCTAATCATGTGCCAAAGTACTTTGCTGGATCAAGGGCTTAATATGCTAATGAAGGAGGACAAGTAGATCTTCAGCTGATGAAGCACGCAGAGATCAGGAACAATGGAGACTGACTTTTACAAGTCTGGCCAGAATATCCCCTGGTTGAAAACAATATGGGCAACAGATAGTCAGAGTCCGGGCTTGTAAAACACATCCCTGAAATAGCACAGCAGCTAATTTTAGGCGTCTCAGTTTAGAGACGTGCGAGGAGGCTATTTTCCTCTGCAGTCAGGGGAGAGGCAGACTCCTCCAGAGGTGATTCACAGCAGAAGCCTGAGCAGGAGGCTCTGATTCATTTCCTAGCAGAGTCTGTCTCTCCCTCCCCACCACCCAAGAGGCAGCGTAAAGAGCCTTCCCGTGGCCTTGCTCAGGCCCTGCGGGGTCAGATACTGGCATATCGTTACAGAAATGCTCTTTTCTGATTACTTACAGCTTGGTCTTTAATTTGAGTTAGGCATTAGTGGAATAAATGAGATCAATTTTCGATAATCCCTACAAGTCATTCCTATTCCAACCCATTGGAACAATTCTGCTATGTAGATACAGCTCGACTCACAGGAGAATAGACTGGATAACCAGGATAAAAATATCTGCAGACCACTCATGCTTGTCTAAGATTTCCTGTCTTCTGCCTCAGGGTAGAGAGAGAGGTCTTCAAACTCCTCCACATCCAGCCCAGGTACATTAGCACCCAGCGTGTCCACCGAGAGCTCACATACCCTGGGGGAGGTGTGGGCTCGGGCTGAGCTCAGCTCTGCTCTTTTCCTCTTCAAACGAAGAGGGGCTTGTCCTGCCCTTCCCTGCTCCTCGCACCTCCCTGAGCAGGTCCTTGGTGGTTGTCAGGTTGGGTGCTGGTTCCTCTCGGGGTGTTGTGCTGGGACTCAGAGACCTAAAATAGCTTCACCTTTGCTAAGGAAGACTACTAGACCCCCGGAGCAGTTGTACTGGTTGTACAAAATGTTTCCTCGCTGTTGGCCTTTGAAATGTAGGTTGTCCATACATTTTTAATAGTTCCCTGTAATAGTTTTCTTGTCATTGTGCATGAGCAATGGGCATTTTGATCCCTTCAGAGATGCAGACGCCAAAGTTGGCATTTGACCTATGCTGGTTTCAGCAAGTAGCCTCCGAGACCTGGCTGCGTGCGGGTGTCCCGCCGTCCCCTCGCTCTGTCCCTCCAGGTAAGTTGCAGAAGCCCAGCGTGATCTGCTGGAGGTGCTTTTGCACTTGCGCTGTTCTTTCCCCGTCCCAGCCTGTCTGCGCGTGGCTTTGGCGAGGACGGAGACAGGAGCGGATGTGGCAGCATGGGCTCTGGGAGCGGATCTGCAGGGACAGCGCTGGCTCGCACTTGGGTTTTGCTTAGACACCCGCAGATGAAGAGACTTGAACCAGGGTGCCTTTAGTTAGGGCTGCGATGCAGCAGCACGCCGGGATGCCTGATTCATTTTAAACACCGGCACCGTCCCTCCCAGTGCCGACAGTCACATTTTGGTGGGTAGCACGGCAGCTGAGCCCCGTAATGTCCAAACTGCAGTACGAACACAGCCATTCCCGATGCAAAGACCTTCATTTACACCCATTGCTTAATGCTAAATAGATGCTTAGGTGCCTGAGTCAGAGCTTGTTTACCCTCGCCTAGCCTAAAAATGAGAGAAGAGAATATCTTAATAAATCAGATGGCAGCCAACCTTCAAAATCAGGTCAGCGTAGCTATCATTTCCCTTCCCTCCTTACACCTCCAGCTCTTTTTTTCTCACGATGAGCCCAGCCAACCTTCTTGCATCACTCCTTCGGCAGGGCCAGATGGGTGCTGCGCGGGGAGCCGCGGGGATGCGGCATCGGTCGGCTGGAAAATATGCCGACGCAGCACAACCTCCGGAGAGGGCAGGCACCAGTGGGGCCAGCCAGAGCGGGAGCTCCCGCCGTACTTCCCCGTTTCCAGATGCCCTCACCTGCAGCTGGATTTGTTGTGGCAGATGCTGTATAAACAGTAGGGCTGTTTGGATAATGAAGTTTTTACTAGCTGGGAGTAAAGTTTGCACTTAGGCAATCAGTAAGTGTCACTTGCGTACACGGAGTAATGATAATGTGCACCTCAGCAGAAGTGTTTCTCGTAGTCAGACGTGCTTCTGGCTCGACTAAGAGCCTCTCCTCGCACGACGGCGGGTGCCATGCCAGCCTCTCAGAGAGGCCATCGTGAGTGATGCGTTTTAGCCTCGACTACAACCCTTATTTGCATGTGTGATTGTTAAATTATTCTCTGCAGCGCGGCAGAATAAATGTTTATGAAACCAATTTGCTGTAGTTTAGAGCATGGGGGTCATAAAACTATGAGATGCTGTTGATTAACTAGTAAATAATGCAGAGGCTGATTAGCCTTTAGCTTTGTTGACTGTGTAGGAAAAGGTCTGCGTTCGGCGTTGGGATGCAGGCGGGGCTGCGTCGCTGCTGGTGAAGCGACACCTTAATGAGTCCCTTCTCGTTTGACAGGTGCAAAACATGTCCCAGTCGATAGAGGTGTTGGACAGGCGGACTCAGAGAGACCTACAGTATGTTGAGAAGATGGAAAACCAGATGAGGGGACTGGAATCCAAATTTAAACAAGTGGAAGAAAGCCACAAGCAGCATCTGGCAAGGCAGTTTAAGGTATGTCTGTTTTCCAAACTGCTAACCAAACTGTGGCTAGGGATTTAGCGGGCTGTGCACGGGACCATGGTCCCAGTCCCCATCAGCTCACGCAGCCGTTGGTCCGGTTGTACACGGCGCTGGCGGCCACCCACCCATGGAGCCCCCTCCTCTCCAAAGCACGGCCAGACCCAGGTCACGGCATCGCATCCTCAGCCGCAATATGTTTTTCTATAGGGTAAAAGCCTAAATCTGTGTGTTCCCGTACCCACAATCCCCCTGGGTGCCTCAAACAGGGCAGCGTAGGATTGTTCCGTGAGAGAGGGTCTGCAGGGAGACCCTGGGGCAGCTGAGATCAGGGCGAGGTGGGTTTCCCTCCAAATTTTCTTGGGAAGATCCAGGAGCTGGGGCTCTGTTTCCATTTCTGCAGCACCTGGCAGATCACTACGAGCTGTCACCAAATCGCTTCCATCCGTGGGGTGATTGTAGCAACAGGGCAGTCAAACAAAGCGATCAACCCCCCCAGATATCCCAAAATCACAACTATTGCAGCTGTCCTCGTGCAAACTGCACGACTCAAGGCTGTGCAAAGGTCCAGGTTGGAATGAATGGTGTTGGCAGCAGAGCCGGCACCTTCCCATGGATTATACGTGTTTTGTCCTGGTGTCGTACAGGTTATTAGTAAAGCGATCAGCCTTTTAAATGAAGCCGTCATTGCGAGCAATGCTCGAGCTTCCACAAACTTGATGGAGGACAGATAGAATTGCCAAAAAGAGGCTGTCAGCAGTAGTTGGAATGTTAGATGTTGGTAATGTTTTGGATTAATAGAGATAGAAAAGAAATCAAGAAGATTTCTAGTGAAATTTTAGGGACATTTCTGGTGAGCCACCAAGCAGATTCCCATCCTTATTTCCAGGCAGATGCCCAGCTGGCTGGTATTGTAAAGCAGTATATTTTTAGATGATACATTAAATACCAAGTTTACCTCATAAAAAGCTGGGAAGAAGGTTCTTAAAACTTTCTACCAACTCCACCTCCTCCACTCCCTATCTCCAGTTATCACAGGATCCTAAATTTAGCCTCACAGTCTGGATGTAAGGACCATCTTTCTGATTTAAGCATGAGTTTCCTTTTTTCCTTCTTTATTTTTGCCCCCCCATTCATTCTGGTGAGTTTAATCCTCCCCTTTGCCTGCCAGAGAGCTTGCACCAGGCAGTGCAAGTAAATAAGAAAATAAATATATTCCCCACATGCAAACTGCAGGAGGGAAAGCCTCTTGACTTAAATAGGAGGGGATGGGAAGGAAAGAAATGAGGCTGAGGACCAATTTCTGATCCCGTTCACTTCAGCAGCCAGCCAGATGTCACAGCCCTGAGCGCTGTGAATTTGGGCAGCGTGCAGTAGTTTAAGCAGCACCAGGTATTCTGTGTGTACTGACATGCTTCATTAACGCGTAGGTGCATGCATATTTATGTCTACTCATTAGCTGCTGGAGCAAAGCATCTTTAACAAAATGCTGCATCCCGTGCCTTTAAACGAGGCCTTCTTTTAATTAAAAAAAAGGAAAAAAAGTCTTCGTTTCCGCAAAATAAATTTGATAACGACTTTGATTTTTATGTTCTTTAGAGCATGCCTAAAAACAGTAAGGAATTTTTGTCTAATTTGCTGCCAAAGCACCATTTGAAACAACAGCCGCAGCATTTTGTTTCTGCTAATGCCAGCATTAAAATGTGAGTGGTTTGGAGCTCTTGTGTTTCTTTTTTTTTCTCTTTAGTTCCGTGAGAGTATTTGTTATGAATGGCTATCTATATAAGGCAGGTTAGTGAGCTAGATCCTCAACAGTATTTCATTTTCTTGCTTACAGGGCTAACTTAAAAGCAAGTTTTTTCAATGCTGCAGTGACTGAAGAAGCAGTTCACTCCCATGTAACCATGAAAAGAGGGCCACAGAGCATTTTGCACCATGCATTTATTTTTTTGATTATTTTCCAAATTAGCACCATATCTCACTAAGGAACCTTGAACCACACAGCCGAGATCTTCCTTTGCATGCAATTGTAGATGCATTTCATGAATAGTTTGAAACCCTTGTCAATGCATATATATATATTATTTTATTTTATTTTTTGGAAAGAAAAAAAAAAAAAAAAAGAACTCTTTGTGTATGTGACCTGAAGCATGTAACCCTAAGATGTTGCATTCTAAAAATGACAAATAAAGGCCTTTCCCAAATATTTTGGTGTTCTGCAGCCTGTTTAATATGTTCTTTCCAATACATCATTTGGACCAAAATAATAACTAAAATAATTTTAATGATAATAATTGTGGGATATGAACGTTGCACTCACGTAGGAAGCAACCAGGTCAAGGCAGAGTGTTGCAGATTTTTGCACGCATAGCACTGAACCAAGCTTATTTTAACCTTGCAGGCAATAAAAGCGAAAATGGAGGAACTTAGGCCTTTGATACCAGTGTTGGAAGAGTACAAAGCCGATGCAAAATTGGTATTGCAGTTTAAAGAGGAGGTCCAGAATCTGACGTCAGTTCTAAACGAACTCCAGGAAGAGATTGGCGCCTATGACTACGAAGAGCTTCAGAACAGAGTGTCAAATCTTGAAGAAAGGCTTCGTGCATGCATGCAAAAATTAGGTAGGCTCAGAACAACATGGTGGCACTGGCTCAACACCATCGATGTTAAACCACGCATCCCGTCTGGAGGCAGAGATGCCAGGCTGGACATCTCCTCGTGCCTTGCCTGGCTGTAAGGGATGGGCTCGCGCAGCCAGGTTTAATCCTGTAAATATTTATGCCATAAATAACATATTGATCTTGGGAGTAGTCCTGCTGAGGATTACTCGCATGACCCATGTTGCTCATGGCGTAAGTGCTTCAGGATCGGGCCCTGGACTAGGCATGTGACTTTTTGCAGCGTTTGCATAAGCGGACGGACGGTGAAATGCGGGAAACGCGGGGCCTCTTGCAAACGACGCGTATGCAAAGCAAAGACATGCACCCGTTTTGCTTATGCATCGATGGCCGAGCCTTTTGCTAACCGGACCTGGCACATCAGCAGAGGTCTGCGCGCCGCTGTCAGTAGCGCGTGCGTGTGTGTGTGTGTGCAGGCTGTGACTCGGTTTCCCTCTTTCCTTTCCTTTTGCATCTTGGAAATCCCAGTTGAGAAGAGCATGATGTGGCTGGTGTGGGTTTGCGGTTTGCTCCGGCCTATGCCCTGTGCAGGATATAAATCCTCCCCACCTCTCCCATTCCCTGAGGTATCAGGGAGCCCCTTCCATCAGGCTGAGTAACCAGCAATGCTAAAACGCAAAAGATTCATCTTTAATCTCATTATTCGGAGAGTATTAATTGGCTGAAGCTTGTGGGTCTGTAGTGGGGAGGCACGGCTGTAGCTAAACCCAGCACCCAACTCCAAACTGAGGGTGGAGAAAAGGGGAAGAAGGGCACTGCCTCCCGCAGCTGCGAGAGATCTCCCCACTGTTTGTTGGCCTAGCTCTGGCTTGATTTAATTTCTACTTACATTATTGACTTTCTTGTTAAGCAATTTAGATAATCTAAACACATTAACTGCTCTGCAGTCTATTTTGGTAGCACATATGAAATTACACTCTCAGGTAACCTCATGGAAGATCAGATCTCTTCTGAGCGCTTTCTATCCTTGGCAAGGTAACGCTTTGTTTCTCTCTTTCTCTGCTGGTGGGGTTGCTTTTGCTTGTTTCTAGATGCCTCCACGCTTCTGAAAGCAGCCACCTCCCCTGCATTTCCATTCTGGCCTCGGTTACCCTGTACATCCCTTATAAGCTGCCTCTCACTCGGAATCTCGGAGAGGAAAGCGAATTTCCACGTAAGGCTGGATGCTCAGAGGTACTTGGACTATGAGCATGCAGCGGGTCACGCACTGGGACAGCCCCAGGGAGCTGCCTGGGTAGCAGGTATGATGCCCCCAGCTGAGCGAGAGGGCAGAGCCTGATTTCTCATTTACTAACGAGTGCTGACGGGCCAGGTTTGGTTCGGGGGCAGAACAGGCTGAGGCAAGTTGTGCCATGGCTTTCCGCGTCATATTTGCGTCCCACTCCTCACCCGTGAGGGTGGAAGGAAGCACGGGGGAGGCAGCAGGGTTGGGGGGTGGCGGGCAAGTCCTGACTGATCTCACCCACTTAAATTTCACCCTGAAAGCTTAATGGGGATGGAAATGATTGAGGTTGTAATGACTTGGTGCTTTCTGTTAGCAGTACCTAATATCTGGAGCTCTATCGTGTGGGGACCATACAGACATCTAGGAATGTCCTGCAGTGGGTGAGATAAGAAAGGATGGGGAACCAGCCCAGGAGCATCCAGTTGACCAAGGTCACGTAGCAAACAGCAGCCCTGCACCGTCAGCACGGGGCAGCTCTACGCTGCAAACGGCTTTTCTCATTCCTCCCTGCCAAAGGCAGATGTGGGTGTGATGGTGAGAGAAGGGACCCACTTGCTGCGTCCGTAGCCTTCAGCCCATCTCTTGAAGATGAGGAGGAGCTGTGGGTGATAGGGACAAGGAACAGCAGCAGCACCAGGGATTTCAGTCAGGGCTGCAGAAGTACTTTCCCAGGGATAGTGCTTTAAACAAAACCGTCCTCAACCTCACAGCTGCTCTCCAGCCTTGGCAGAGCTGCCCCAGCCCAGGCTGACTCCACCAGAGCCGGGGATGATCCTCTCACAGACCCTGGCCAGACTTTAAGAAGTTGCTCCCAAACCATTCAGGGCTCCAAAAAATTAGACTTTGCTCTTGGACCATTACCCACTTCTGCTCTGGGCCATGTCCTTGCTCTTTACATCCCCCTCATGCTCAGGTCCTGCAGCTGGGACACCCAGCCACGGCAGCAACCCAGGTAAGAATGACTGAGGGAGCTAGGATGGCAAGCTCTTGCAGGCAACTTTTTCTAGAAACTTTTAGGGTGGTTTTGAAGTCTTTTTGAGGCTTCATTTGGGCTTTTTGGCTGCGCTCCTTCTTTCTTCTCTTGCTCTCTCTGTGACCGTGGGGTCAGGGCAGGGCTTCTGCCCCGGGGCACTGCAGCACCCCTGGGTGCTCGTGGAGGTAGGCACTGAGTCTCACAAGGGGAGGGTTTGCTGCTCGCTTGGGAAGGTGATTTATTTGGTCACTTAACAGCAAACAGCATGGATTGAATTTCCAATGTTGTTTATCACTCTGGAGTGTAAACCACTGAAAATGGTAGTTAATTGAGTTAAATTCGGATAACAACCTTACAGGTGCTTTGTTGCTGCACGATGAGGTCCTGTTTGCTGAGGATTGCTGTTTGCTGCCAATTACCTGCTCAGAGAAATTCACTGACATCTCAAGTACATGTTTTAGCTTAGATTTGCTCCTATGTGGGCCAGCAATGCTGCTCACTTGGTGCGTGTTCACCTTCTAGAGCTCAGGATACAGCTTAGAGCACCCAGAACAGGCTCAGGGAGCTGCTGCAGTAAGCACAGGACAGGAAAAAAGGGAGGGGATGTGCCATGTTCCCATCCAGTCCATCTCTCCCCATCCTCCGGGAAGAACCGATGCTCAGCAGTGCAGCAACATTTTCCTTAGACCAGGTCCTGGTTTGCATTTTGGGTTTCCTAAGCATTATTGATGGATCAATAGTGAAAACACTTCCTGACCCTGGCAAGTGTGTGAAGGGAAAAAAAAATCAATAATGGCACGTTCAATCTGTTATTCTGTTTACACTCTTAAAGATCACTATTTATACAGGGATTTTAACGTTTCCATTAACGTTCCTAAGAGGAGCCTTGGAGGAGCAGAGAGGTTGGCACTGCTCGATTCTGGGGGGTAATTGAACTCGGCTGCGCTCCACAGGCTCACGTTTGCCTGATGGCACAAGCTTTCCCTGACTCTTGCAAAAAATCCCAGCCCACAATCCTGGTGCAGAGATGAGGACAGAGCCCTGCCAGCCTGTCCCAGATGTTTTTGGGATGAGGGGCTCCCAGCTGGGCAACAGAGACAAGGGCAGGTCATCATCCCGCTGCCCCAGCCCCATCCCCCTCCCTGAGGGCTGTAGGATGCTGGGGGGATCAGACCTTGGCGTCATGGGAAGCCCAAGCTGGGAAGGTGCTCGGCTGTGGCAGCAGCAGCCGGAGCAGAAGGAGACGGCGCTGGTGTCGGTGTGGTGGCTGCGTCGGCAGATAAATTGCTGCTGAGCTGCTAAACCTCGCTCGTGGGCTGAATCTTGGGAGAAATATGGAGCGGGGGTGTTAGTATCCTGGGAGAATGGTAGCAGTTGTTTTAACTGACTGGAGGAAAGCGTGTCTTCTCCTGCTGGAAAATTCCTTGTGTGGCTGGAGGAAGGGGCTGTGTGTGTGGAAGTGGTGGCTCGTGGTTGCTCTCCTGAGCTGCAGGAAGGCAGGTCGGAGGAGATTGGCAGGGTCAGCCTGGAAGGTCACTCAGGAAGAGGCTGATATGTGCTGTTTTTGAGGAACAGGGACACACCGGCCCCCATAGGCCACAGGTCCAGGGACCTGAGAAGCGCAGGGGAGACTGGAGTGACTGGGCTCTGGGGAGAAGCGCAGGGGAGACTGGAGTGAAAACAGATCCTCTGTGCGTGCCCCAAAACCTGCTGCTCACAGGCTTCCCCTGCGTTGTGGACTCAGGGATGAACACTGGTCGTGCTTTCCTGTTGCACATTTCTGGAGTGACCTGAAATGCCTGTAGCATCCACGCTCCTGCCATCCCAATGGGAGAGCAGGTTTGCTGTGCAAGGCTCGGCACCCGTGGGTGCTGGGCTGCTCAGGGCAGGAGAGTTTTGCAGGGCACTCAAGCAGCAGCATTAGGGCAGTCACAGCCAGGGTTTAAAAACTCCCCATTGTGAGTCAGTAGAGTCTGATAGAGGAAGGATTTGGATGTTGGGCATCTGGGCTCACACCCCAGCTTCGCTCCCAACGCCCTGCCCCACGCTCAGCTCCTCGTCCACAGAGGAGAGCGCTGCTGAGAGTGGCAGGGGCTGGGGGTGGGTGCTTCGAGGCTGT